GCACGGATGGACGGTCATTGAATAATGCAACTATATTCACATACTCATAGTATATATATTTATATATCAATTTCCACGGATAAACGGCCATTGAATAACGCTTCTATATTCTCTTACTCATAGTAGATGTCTATGTTTACGTTTCCACGGTTGAACGGCCATCGAATACGCAACTACCTTCATTCACATCTATTTCTTGTATGTCTATGCATGCACTACTATAGTCGTTGAATATCGAGCAACTATATTCATTCATTCTTAATATATATACGTCTATACATGTGTTTCCACGGTTAAACAGTCAGTGAAATACGTATTCGTATTCACTCACTATAATATGAACACGACTATGTGTGCAATACCACGGTTGAACGGTCGAATAACGCAAATGTACTCCGTTCATATATATATATATATATATATTGATTATGGAGGATATAGCTAACCTAATCATTTAAAATATTCGCACAGCAGATAAAACCTATAGCGGAATCTAATCGCTTGCGAGCGTGGCTCTAATCCCTCAATGTCCTGTGCGCTACAAATTGAGAGATAAACCCATCGACAGTACGCTTCTGAGACTTTTCGTAAAACAGCATTGCTATTAAACTTTGATAAAAATTCTGTAGTATGACAATGGCAACGACTGAACCTCGCGCATTTGAGCAATGACTGTATGTATTCGTACCAAGTTGAAGTAGGCCAAACGTATCAGTTTCAAGACGGCTGCAGAAGTGGGACAAAGCCAAGGAGCGTAGTGATAGACTTCGTAGCAGCTGTATGAATTCCATTCATTGGATAAGGCTGTCGTTGAATTGTACGGTAATACGCCCCCTGCTGACAGGGTGATGGATCTAAAAACACGTATAGCAATCACTTGCGGCAAAGATACCAATTGCGACACTTGAAGTTTATTGCTCTGAATGGTAATAAATACCACGGACACACAGACTCCCAATATTTATATCGCCTCCACTTAGTCCGTCAACGATAACGGAGGACATATTGATACTACTTTCACTATAATCCGGCTTCATGCTGTCCTGATCAACAGTTTCTAACAGAACCGAATTCCTAACCGAATTCCTAACCTGATTGCCTTAACCTGATCTCTATTGAACCTGATCACTTGGTCTGCTAAGATAAGATGACGGCACTACTATCGACTATTCTTACTGTAATGATAAAAGTCATAAAGCCCCCCATTTTAGAAACGTATCCAATATCCGATGACCTCCCGGAATTGAACAGTTATGCACATCCACAAATCACAATGCTTGATAAAGTAGGCGCACGTGGACTACTTGTGTACTGTTGTTGTGTATCGAGAATGTCAATGTACAGACAGGTTCCCAAGACCAGTCACCCCAGTTCCAACTTCCAGCAGGCCAAGGCAATCCATTCCCCGCATGTTAACGAATATGCCCAGTCTATTGGGTTCGGTTCTACTCGCGGGGGCCTCGGAGGCGCAAAAGGCGATCCCTAGAGCTTATTTCCTAATACCGAAACATATAACGGGACATTTCGTGAGTATATGGAGTAAAATCTGAAATAAAACCAATGATATTTTACATATGAACTGTATACTAAAAAAAGGACTGTGCCGAATCATCGGTGATTTTGAGCAGGGAGGTAGGAATAAAAATACGATTGGTTTGGCGCACGAGGGGCAATCAGCGCTGGTGAAAACAATGGTCTGTTCTACTCTATGGAATATGGATGGCACAGCACGAGACAATTTGACCCTGAAATCCAGCATAAACTTTTCAAAGTTCCATATGGCGGACGGCTGAAACTGGAAAAACAACAAATAAATTTCAATCCCGATACAAACAAAACGGCGACGCAAGCGACAGCGGTTGCCAGTTTTCACATTCACCATGACTGACGGAAAGCAACACGTATCTATTGTTATCTGCGGACACGTAGATGCCGGTAAGTCCACGACTACCGGTCATCTGATCTTCGCCCTCGGGGGTATCCCCGAGCGTGAGATGCAGAAGCTAAAGGAAGAGGCCACCCGTCTGGGTAAGGGTTCGTTCGCTTTTGCTTTCTACATGGATCGCCAGAAAGATGAGCGTGAGCGTGGTGTCACCATCGCTTGCACCACCAAGGAGTTTTTCACTCCTACCAAGCACTACACCGTTATTGACGCCCCCGGCCATAGAGATTTCATCAAGAACATGATCACTGGTGCTTCTCAGGCTGATGTTGCTCTACTTATGGTGCCATCTGACGGTAACTTCAGTGCTGCCATTGCCAAGGGTAATCACAAGGCCGGAGAGGTCCAGGGACAGACTCGTCAGCACGCTCTTCTTATCAACCTTCTAGGTGTTAAGCAGTTGATTGTTGGTGTTAACAAGATGGATTGCGATGTTGCCAAGTACGGTATCGAGAGATACACTGAGATCAAGGATGAGGTGGTACATATGTTGACCCGTGTTGGATGGAAGAAGGATTTCGTTGCCAAGTCCGTACCCATCATGCCCATTTCAGGATGGTGTGGAGATAACCTTATCACCAAGTCCAACAACATGGATTGGTGGAAGGGAGCTGACGTTCTTGTCGGCAAGGAGAAGGTTCACGTTGACTGTCTTCTTGACTGTCTTGAGTTCATGGTTACCATCCCGGTGCGTACCCCCGATCTAACCATGCGTATGCCTCTATCAGGAGCCTTCAAGATCAAGGGTGTTGGAGATGTTCTAACTGGACGTGTTGAGCAGGGAACCGTAAGGCCCGGAGATGAGTGTGTTTTCCTACCCACCCATACCCCCTCCACTGGTTGCACCGGAAAGGTGTTCACCGTCGAGATGCACCACAAGCAGGTTGAGGCCGCTTACGCTGGTGACAATGTTGGTCTTAACATCAAGGGTCTTAACGCCAAGAACATGCCTCGCGCTGGAGATGTCATGATTCTAAAGTCCGATAACACTCTAGGTCGATGCAAGAACTTCACAGCACAGGTACAGGTTATGAACCACCCTGGTGTACTAAAGGCAGGATACTGTCCCATTGCCTTTGTGCGTACCGGACGTTCCGCCGTGAAGATGACCTCCATTGACTGGAAGGTCGGTAAGGAGACCGGTGGCACCAAGGCCGAGAACCCCGCTGGTCTTAAGGCTAACGAGATGGCTCAGGTTGTTTTCGAGCCCATGCAGCCTTTCGTTGTTGACTCCTTCAAGAACTGTGAAGGTCTAGGACGAGTTGCCATCATGGAGGGTAACTCCATCGTTATGTTGGGTAAGTAGTTACATTCTATCACATTGAATTATTCAGTTGTTTTTTGTTGTTTCGTTGGAGTTGTTTGGTTGTTTAGAATTCATTCTGTTTCTAATCCATTTTCTATTATGAATATATAGGTAAGGTCTCCAAGGTTGAGCGCTTATAAGTAGTGCGCTGTTCACTTCTGTGATGCGCGAAAAGTCGGGATCGATGCTTGATACTTAGTGGGGGAACCTGAACGAGCGACGATCAACCCGGCTGAAAATATATTAGATATAGAAAGCCCCGTTCTACTTGGTCGAACTCTTAGTCATATCAACCTTGTGATGATCGCGGCAACTGCTTTAACTTCTTCTTGAAAAGTGGATTCCCGTGTGGACTGTTGGAGCTGTGGGCTATCGTTAGTGCGCGTTGTCAGCATGCGTTGGTTATCGATAGTCTGCTCTCACGTCTATGCGGTGGACTTTAGGTTTGCTGTAAATCTGAGTTGTAAATAAACGTATCGACGATTAATATATATTGTTCTATTCTTGTATGTATATATATATATATTTAAGTTCTTCTTTTGGGCTGCTTCTTCCTGGTTACATAGTGTAGAGGCTTGAGTTTGGGCGGAATGATGCTAAACTGTTGCTCGAGGAGAGTTTGTCTGGTGCTATTGTAATGGATTACATGAAACTTTTATGACATGATCGTGGGAACTGTTGATGTAGATGCTGTTCGTCTGTATGCTTGTTGATCATCCGATGCTCGTTCAATTTTGCGATCAACATGACATGTGGGTGTTTTCGCTTTCACGTGGGGCATAGGGTAAGAAAGGTGACCGCTTTTGCAAAACATTTGCATCCACCTGCAGCCACTGGACTTTACATTACGAAGCCATATGTATATTTATATGTTTACATATTTATCAAATGTACTTGGTTGTATATGTGAATTTAAAACAACATTTGTATGCTAGAGGGCACTGTGTTTGTTTAGGTGTACGTCGCAACACTTGGGATGAATCTTAAGCTGAGGCAGTGAAAATAAATATAGTACACTAGCAGAGCATCATAACACAGTGAAGCTACGTATAACCTTAGTAGGTGGGGCAACACACAGTTTGCTTAGTTGTACGTTTTTCTTAGATGTACGTCGTAACACTTGGGATGAGTCTTAAATATATTACATTAGCAGAGCATCGCAACACACTGTGAAGCAACGCATAACTTAAGTAGGTGGGGTAACACAAAAATAACAGCGCAGCTCAAAACACATTGCATGATAAGGATAAGCAGAATGGAACATGACGCACAATCCAAAGGACGAATTTCCACAGACACAGCTGACAGTGTTTTGCAAATCGTAGTCCAGGTGGGAGACATCGTTTCACTCAAGAATGGTATGTAGGTTATAGTTGCAAGAATTGATGGTGTATCTAATTGTGACCGGACTGGGCAGCACCGTGGGATAAATATTTTTAGTCCATTCTTATCACCTTGTCTATCACCTTGTCTTATCATCATGTAAGCATTTCAGCACCACAAAGGGATTCGGAATTTTATGGCATTGTGGTCTACGGTGGTCTTCATTGACTAGGGTCATTGACTAGGGGCACTACGCCTGAAACACATTCGTTTGTACTTGCCAGCGCTACATTGGAAAGACTTAGATATATAGCCCATATAGTACATTATATGTGATTTATATTTACGAGTACACACAAACACACACACACGTGCACACACACACGTGTACACACACACACACACACACACACACACACACACACACAC